AAAACATCGCAGTACTCCCATCGACTACTAATGTCTGTGGTGAAGCACCACGGACCGCTGGATCCGTCAGGATTGCGACAATAGTTGTTCGCTTCCGCCAAGGTGTCTTCTGGGAAATTCAGGATGTTATTCCAAGAGTGTTCATGGGGATACTGCGCGTCCCATCTCTGACAGGTTCTCCCAGACTTAGTAACGGATAGCTTTCCCGAGTACCACTTGCCCACCGCATCAAATTTACATTCTATAGATGGATATATGGAGCCTTTCCCTGGAAATGATCATGAATTCAAGTAATACTGAAGCGCAATGTAAACACTATTTGATAATGTCTTTAATCGAAAAAAGTAAGCTTGCTGCTCAAAGAATCGGCAATAGAATTTGATACCCTTGAATGTGTGTACTGAATTAAAGAAAATCTTTTTCGGATTTCCTGGAATTTAAATGCCAAAATATCGAAAAACTCTGTTTGACTGTAAGAAATATTCACTAGTGTCAACCTTATTATTATAGAACAGTAAGTATTTGGACCCACCTGTTCTTGCATAGTGGTCGACATCTTTAGTTGCAATCTTTGGCGGATGCTGAGTGGATTTTGGTCCATTTAACTCGCACACTTTCATATGTTTCTCTCCTTCTATTCGCCGAATATTGAACGAGTGGCATTCGTCTGGTATGGCGAAACAGCTAACTGCACATCGCATATCGGACACAACTTTAAACGACTTCAGTGGATTGTCCAAGCGTTCTGCAGACGGGTACATTACGCAGGTCATATTTGTCATCTGATGTTTCGAGAGATTTATTGAAACAGAGACCAAGTGCGGTTCAGCAAATAACATATCCCAAAATAGAAACCAAATCAAAATCATTGAAGAATTTTGCATCATCTTCATCTTTCCTTTTTATTATAAAAATTCTAAAATTCATTCCATGTTGCATCATAATTTTAAATCCGGAAAAATGAAATTGGTATTAACAGATATGATGTTAAATTAGGATAAAATTCCCGAAAATCCATTTGAAGTTAAATCATCATAAGTATTAATATATATTTTTATCCGAAGCGTTTTCATGGCTTGATTACTTTTGTTTTCACTTTTAGTTTCATAACTTCTACAAAATCGATTCAAGGGAATGAATGAATGTCAAAGGTACTGAAATTACATCTCAATTAACGTAATAGTTGGATTTGTGCGCAGTGTCATGAAATATTGACTTTTTAAATAATGCTTCAACACGCGAAAAGTTTTGCTTGGCTGTATATTCGTGGGGATGATCATTGTGGTGGGAGTTATATATTAATGTTGAATCATCTGGGCTTTGTTTGGCCAATTTTTGCCTGAAGTGTTTATGACAAGTAAAGTATATGTTAATCATTAAAATCAAAGCAAAAGCTTAAAAGACGGACGGACGGACGCCGGACGCCATTGGATCCCACCATGGACAAAAGCTTTCGTATAAGCAGGTATACTCGTATTCGCATACAAATGTTTTATCAATATCGAAGAAAAAATGTAAGAAAAATGAATCATAAAGTTTTAAAATTAAGAGGGGTTCTGGTAATAATATCCATAGAGTCTTTTTTAACTTCCCCCAGATGTATGTATTTGGTGGTCTCCTCTTCTTGATCCAAACTTAACAACCTCCTGGCAGAGTCTTGATGATCAACTCTGGCTTGGAGGGTGCATTGTCGATTCCAGTTAATCCTGAAAAGAAAAAAACAACATTTTACATATTCAATATTTTGTGAAAGAAGACTTCTAAAATGTTCTGTTTAATGCATAGCAGCATATTTCATAGAATTTTGACTGGACTTCCCAAATCTTTAATCTATTTTAACCAAATCCTTTGAATTTTGTCAGTCACAATCTCCATCGACATCGTATACACACTTTGTATTCGTTCGACTTGCTTCTTAAAAGGGAGCTTCGACTTCAGGTTTATATCTAGACTATGCGGGTAGGGCATTGTGCATACCATCGCCAGCTATATATTTCTCAAGGCCAAGGTTGTCTCGCCAACTCCGGATAAACCTGAAAATTAGTCCAGAACATGAAATAGGTTGAATGAACGCTGCATCCAAATATTTTTTGATTTCATGTTAGTTCAGATTATTTCAATAATGTTTGATTACATTTATCAATTATATTCAATTAGGTGCATTAACTGTTAATGGCATTTAAACCATGTTTCTGTACCTATAAACCATTAGTCTACACGCATGTCTCACCTTCAGGAAAAACAATATGAAATTATATCCTAAACAGAATCAATTAGAATTGTGGGATAAAGTGAAAGAAATACATTACATGCCATTACTACCTAGGGTAGGCCCTCTGAAAGGAAAAAAGGTGCACTGTTCTTTACCAATCATATCTTTTTTTCGTTATTATCATACCAAACATTCAGAGGTATAATGTACGTATACTTTGACAAAATGGAGAAAATTTCAAAGGATTTCGTAAATATGGTAAAAAGTTAGAAAGGATTGAATAGAACGACTCTCAAAATCGTGAATGTGACTTTTTACCATAAATTGACATCAGCAATGTGCTCAAGAAGGGTATCTTCTGAGACATGAAGTTAAATTGTTAGTTATGTTTAGAGGAATACTCCATTTTAAAAAGTTTTCAACCCAATACAACTTTGTGAAAATTATCAGTATAATGAAAGTCCGATTAATTACAACCATTTCGAGATAAAAGGAGGAGGGAAGTTAGCGCAACAGATTTTGGACAGTCATATGTTTGATTTTGGCCATTTCATGGGGATTTAAACAGGTGCATATGTTAGGCGAATGCATTACCTCCAGGAAAATCACTTCTAGAGATGATAAAATAATTTCGACTTTGAGACAGGGTAGATGCAAACAACCCACCCACATGTTTTTCCTAAAATGTTTTCCTGATTTTCAACCCCTTCCATCCTTGCTTTTTTAATTTTTCTTGCATCAATATGTTGTGTTTTGCCACACAGTTATTGCCTTAAAAGGAATAAATGATTCCTTTTAGATAAAGTGGAAAATCGCTTTTCCCATGTTATTTTCCCATAGGAAAAATCATTGCTTTCAGCTAAGTATGGTCACCCATAATGGGTATCTTTAAAACCCCAAAAGGAATCACTTATTCCTTTAAAGTGGTTGACTATGTATCAAAATGCAATATATTGATGCAAAAAAAATTAAAAAAGCAGGGATGGAAGGGGTCCAAAATTAGAAAAACATTTCAGAAAAAGCATGTGGGTGGGTTGTTTGCATCTACCCTGTCTCAAAGTCCAAATTATTTTATCATCTCTAGAAGTGATTTTCCTGGAGGTAATGCATTGGCCTAACATATGCAATTGTTTAAATCCTCAGAAAATGGCCAAAATCCAACATATGACTGTCCAAAATCTGTTGCGCTAATTTCCCTCCTCCTTTGAGGTAATATCCTTCAGATTCAGAGGTCTTTTCTCAGTTCAAAATTAGGGTTAGGGGTAACATATTTTACAATAAACTGGAAATTGTAAGATAATTATAACACTTAATCTTTCTCAATGACCCATAAATATGTAATCCTGTACGTAGCTTATGAATACCAAAAGGAGTGGTATTGATATGGAGAACTGAATTCAACAATGTTTTTCTCTTAAACCAATCATTGAAAACATTCTGTAAGAAACAGGCTATTTTATGTAATGTTGCCTGATTGACAACAGTTTAATGCGAAAGTTATTTAGAAATATTCTATATAACTGATTTTGTTAACATTTTTTTTAGTGCAATTGTTTTTGCTCCTTTCTACCAATTCTTGAGAATGAAATAAAATGTCTTTCCGAACCTTGTTGGAACAAAATAGCATATACAACATGTTTTTAGACCTCTAAATATTATAGTTATACAAAGGAATTTTCGGTTGATTTTAAAAAGGTATTCAAAAAATTAAAACAAAATCCGCCAAAATAGGTAAAAATCAAGATAAACCTTTTATTTCATTAACAAGATACTTTTTTAAAATCAACCAAAATTTCCTTTGGACAATTACAATATTGAGAGACCTAAACATGTTGTGTTTATGTCGTTTTGTTCCAATGAGGAACGGAAAGATGTTTCATTTCACTCTGGAAACATGATACCAAGAACAAAACAAGTATTTGATGTGTTTTCTAAAACAATATAGATCAAAGTACATATATATTTTTCGAATTATAATTGTTACCATTCAAAAGATGACCATTAAATTGATGATGTGTTAAATTTTTAGATTTTTTTTATGACTGGTTTAAGAGAAACGTGTGTTAAAGAAGTTCTCCATATTAATACCACTTCTTTATATCAGATTTGATGTATAAATGTGTTTATTGAACAAAATTGTTACATCCTATTCTACTACTATTTGAGGCGTAAAATTGTCGAAAAATCATGTTTAAGGTGGGTTTTGGCACTTCCATGATTTTCTGTCAGTGCATAAATGTTTATTTCAAACCTGTCAGTTATGACCAGTTTGGGACGGGCTTTACAATGGTATGAAGAATATAACATATAGAAAATAATATCCTGGGCTTAGAGGAAAATGTATTACACTGTGAAAAAGCAAATTGTAATTTATGACGTAATTTAAAGGGTGTCCAAGCTATGGCATTTTCCGAATGAAGTATAAATTATTGATGAGCGCTCAACACCCCCTAGGATTGGCCATGGATTGCAAAATACTCTGGTGACATCCGATGACATCAACAGCTCCATCTCTTTCGAACTGCATACGGTCAAAATTACAAAACAATTTGGACAATCGACAATAATTGCGCATAGTGGTATGTATGAACCAGTACAATTAGTACGGAATCAATTAGCAAACCATTCCGTTAATGAAATACACGTAACCAGGTGAACGCGACAAGCATGCTTTTATTGGGTGCAATATACAATACATGTAGCTGTCCCTTTATTGGGTGCAATTTACACGTAACTGTCCCTTGAGTCGTATTTCGATATTTAGTGGATGCAATAAAATATCAAATATATTGAGAACAAACATTGATGACAAGGCTACTTCGAATTGAAACTTTTGATATGTGCAATCACGTCTTCATTTAGGAACTTTCAGCCAAGTCTGCATTTTCTGTCAAGAACCAATTTGTATATAAATTTCAAATACATGTTCTATATACGTGCTACTTTAATCACGAGACTGGAAAGGACTTAAATGCATAAAGAAACTAAAATGAAAAAAATATTAAAGGTGTTAATTTGTGCCGTATTTTCGGATATGTTATTTGCAAAGGCGAACGCAGTGACCGTTTCAATAAATCTCTCGAAACATCAGATGACAAATGTGACCTGCGTAATGTACCCGTCTTCAGAACGCATAGACAATCCACTGAAGTCGTTTAAAGTTGTGTCCGATATGCGATGTGCAGCTAGCTGTTTCGCAAAACCAGACGAATGTCACTCGTTCAATATTCGGCGAATAGAAGGAGAGAAACATATGAAAGTTTGTGAATTGAATGGACCAAGCGCTACTCAGGATCCGCCAGGAAATACAACGGAAGATGTTGATCACTATGCAAGATATGGTAGGTTTAAGTCTAAGGATTAACGATGTAAACTTAGTGTTCAACGTAACATCCTTACATATATTCATACGATCTCACAAATACACGTAATGAATGAGAGCACAGTCCATGTTTTTATTATCTTGTAAAGTTCCTCTGGGTTTCAGAAAAGATTTGGGTGTCAAATAATGTATTGATTTCGTTTCCAGGGGATTGGACACCTGAATCCTTAGAATGTAAATTTGATGCGGTGGGCATGTGGTACTCTGGAAAGCTATCCGTTACTAAGTCTGGAAGAACATGTCAGAGATGGGACGCGCAGTATCCCCATCAACACACTTGGAATAACATCCTACATTTCCCAGAAGACACCTTGGCGGAAGCTAGCAACTATTGTCGCAATCCTGACGAAATGTCGGACGGTCCGTGGTGCTACACCACAGACAGTAATAGCAGATGGGAATTCTGTGATGTAAAGTTGTGTAGCAAATGGTTTTAGTAGTGTTTTACACACGAGTGACTGAGAGACTCCCTCACAGAATGTTGTTTGAGAAAAATACCACTACGAGCATAATTATATAATTTCTTAACGCGTTCAACACAGGAAAAATCGGAGATGAAATTAATATTATGCGAGTATAGGATTTCGCTATCTTTAAGACTGAGCGCGAGTCCTTTTCTTGCTGGAGACAATCCCATGATTTACTCAGAATTTACATTTGAAATGTCCCATCTGGGACAAGGAGGATTGGCTCCCAGAGTGCAACATCGATATTCTGTCCCAAATATGAGCATGTCGAGATACAAAATTCGAATTCAAACAACCGCCATTTTGTACACTTCAACATTTGAATCATGAATTTTGGTCTTATTTCCTAACGAAAAATTCCAAAACTTACAAGAAATGATCCAGATATTGAATCGAATCTTTTGAACTGTTTATTTTAAAATAGTCGTTATAATTTAAAAAAATAACGACATTTCGACGTTTTCATTGTTGGAAAATATGAGTTTCGATCCTGGAAGCTAATCCTCCTTGATCTGGGATTTCCTCATCACGGACAGACTCATTTCTGAAACTTACCAATCAGATTCATGCATTTGAAATGACCTGTTTTTCGACAAACTATGTATACATATTATCCCAGGCAAATATCAATATGATTCCCATGTTCTCTGCATTTTAAGAGGGATCTCTGGAAAAGGTAAGGTCTATTAAAAATAGCTCTGCCAAAAATGGCAATTATTCGATCGCAAGTAAAAATACTGCCATTTACGTAATGTAACGGAAGTCCGAGAGATTGCCATACGAATAAAAATCATACATCTATTCCTAGATATTTGCCTTTTGTGGCCGTTGAGTATCCCTATCACATATTCTAGAAAACAAAGAATTGGGACAAAACAGAATTGATTCCTGTCATGACCCGATATCTTTCTGCTTTCAACTGGCATTAGAAAGGAACAATAGAAGCCCATCATGATGAGATTTTCCTAATTACATATTTATTAATCTATTTAATAGAATTGGATAAATTACACTGTATTCGATATGTACTGTATGGGAATACTGCATCTAGCTTAATGTAATAGATATTGTTGGATTTATTGTAAGCCATAAAGGTAACCATTAAAGTGGTTGGATTAAAAAGAATAGTCACAAATATGGGGACATTGGGTGAAATCATGTCATCGGTTTGCATGGTTTAAACAGAATTATTAAAGAGGGGCATAGCACTGAGAAAGATAACCACTTTTAATTTTTTGCCAATGCTGGTAAATCGCGAACACACATATTGAGAAGTTTATTGAATATCACAATTGAGTATTCTCTGTACCAGTAAGAAGTATGGATATTATAAGTTATTCAATGATTCGAGTGAAATACAGAAAATATTCTTCCCGAGAAGGTTGTATTTCACGATGCGCTAGCAGAGTGAAATACAGACGTTCAAGGGAAGAATATTTTCTGTATTTCACGAGAAATCATTGAATAACGTTTTTATTCCATGATTACCCATATAAAACTCGTTTAAATCAAGTCCCTTGGCTTGGGGCCGGAGAAACAGATCAACCTTCTCACCTCAGAGATATTTTACATCGATATTCCGTCAAAATCTTTATGGGCTTGTTTACTTTTTATTGTATTATACGAGACGTTTGATTTTCTTTATTTTTTCTTCAATTTCATCAGCTGGAAGTGCAGTGTAGCGAAACGTTTTTTCGACTTTCGTCTGCCATATTGGATTTTAAATTTTTTTACTAGTTCATGAAAACAATGTGCATGCTTCATATTGATCTTTTTATATTCACAGATGTGTGTTTTTTATCATAAAATTATAAATTGTGATGATCACCGTATCATTTCCTGATATTCAAATCAGATATTTCTAGCAAAATGCAAATATTAGCATGCGTTGGTGTAAACTGATCACCATTGTGTAAACCGTATCCCAGATTGTAGGGAATTTCACCATCATGGAATAAAACATGGTATTTCAATAGGACTTGGTAGCAAGTCTTACTTCGGCCTTTGTCAATGCAGGCCAGAAATTTGGAATGCATGCCTAGTTATGTTTCGAGAGTCAATTGCTCCATTTGAGCAATACAATATTTTGGAGGACTCTACGGCTCTAGTAATTCATCTTTCATACGTCTCATGCCAATACAGAAATTCAATCATTCAATAACTTATAATATTGGTGAACTGGTATTTTCAATAGACCATTGCTGCATTTTGAGCGAAACAATGTACTGGCTACAGTAATTCATCATTCTGGTATTCTTCAAGTTAACTCATTTAATGTCCACGTTTTGTGTCTATACCCAATTGTTTACAAACATGGCTGCACTCAGGGTGAACCTTTTCCCAAAATGCTTTGAATCCTCGTTTCCCATGATTGGACGAACCAAAATGTGTGAACGTCTCAGAATGGATTTGTGGGTCGGTTAGCAGTACGACTGCATCGTTGTCTTTACCAAGCCAACCCTGGAGGTCAACCACCATCAATTTGCCCCCAGACTCAACGTAACTGAAGTGCGAAAACGCGGTAGCGAGACCATCATCAAGCTTAACATTTCTATACGTTGCGTTGTTCGTGATCTTTATGAATGTCTCATCTACGAATGGCTCGATGTTCATATAGCCCCCAAGTTCTCCATTTTCTGTTATTGTTTGCACGTGAACAACTGGCAGGAACTGGATCTGAGTGGATGTGACTCGAGTCTCTCTGGATTTTGTCGATCCCAGTTGAAGGCTGGCAAGAAGAGCTTTATTAAACAGTGCCGTGTAGTACCTTGCAGTCATTTGACACACCACATCTTGTTGATATTGGCGTATCGGGCGTTTCACACGGTACACCTTTCCAGCATATCTGTAAATTATCAATAAAATCATATATTGGTGGACAGGTATCTTCTGTTTGGTTCTAAAGAAATTCACAACAAAAGTGCATTAAATAGCTTGTGCCTCTTAGCAGGTATTTGAAAACTTTCTGAAGGTACTACCTCGACAAAGGCTCCTCTTGTTCCAGATACTGCACATTGTAGACATCTCGTTGTGCCCCCTTGGTGGCTACTTTTATCTCCTCCCCTACGTACAGCAACGTAGGTTGGGTTGACCACATACTTTCCTCGGGGTTATACTTCCACAGAATTGCCCCTGTCGCAGTAAATATAAGATAGAATCATGTAAAAATAAAATACAGGGACCTATGTCTATGTCACCACCACATGTGATGCCATTCTGTTGGTCTGTACTTTTTCTGTGGTTAGTGTTCAGCTGTTAGTGTTCGGCGGTTGGTGTTCAACATTCGAAGGTCGGTGTTCGTAACAAATGACTGGTGGTGACATTTTGTATGTTAATGACTTTTTTTATTATATAATATGACATGACAGATAAAACATTAGATTCCAAAGAAGAATTTGACCTAAGAATTTGATCTGTTCTAAAAGACAAAATGGCCTTTCCCTGAATTTAATAAATTAAATTCTATGCCCATTTTAAAATGTGATCATTTATAACTAGTATTTACTTACGACTGACACCCATTTTTATTGCTCCATCTATGCTACCTCGCTGTACCATTTTGGCTTCATCAGCTGTGATATTCAAGCTATACAGACCATAGCGTTCTGCGGACACCTCTAGATCGTCATTGACATCAATAGAGGCAGGATCGATGGTTCCATCCAAAAAGTCTTGTTCAACAGAGTCGGGTTTGACTTGCGCATGACTATCTTGACTAAAAGGTTCGGAAGAACCATGTTGGAGTTTAGGTATGTCTTTATGAGATTTGTCTACTGAGCTCAGGGATGATGAAGCACTGCTGAAAGTGTAACCAGAGCTAAGACTTGATTCATCAGTACTTTTCGTATGTATGGAGCTAGTATCCGATTCATTTGTAGTATTTGTAGCACTGGATTCATCTGAAGAGATAATATAGTCTGATGTACTGCTCACTGTTGTAGCTGATGGATCAGCGACACCTATCTTATTTTCTGAATCAGCAACACGTTTCTCCATGACAGTTTCAACACCATCACTTGTGTTGCTGCCTTTAATACTCAATTGGTTAAATTCAACATCAAGATCGGCACCAGCTCTATATGGGTATGCAAAATGGTCAGTTGGCCTTGGTTCACTAACTGGAACCAAACATTTTACTGTCCCTTCTGTGTCTCTATTGTGAAACGTTTTGTGGCCCATACGATGAAAAGCTTCAATGATCATATCTTGTGCTCTGTCAGAAAACCTAAATGGAGATTCTGTTGTACATAAGTCCTGGTACAAGACAACGCATATTTCTCCAAAACGTTCTACTTCCTCAATACTCTTGCGTTGTTCTATTGATATAGCATCTTCATGATGTTCATTAATACTTTTTAACGTTAGATACACATAGAATACTGCTGAAACCATCTCAAAGGCCTGTTCCTTGCTGGTGAAGTCATTCAAGTCTTTAAACTTTTCACAGCTTCTGATGATATCTGCAAGCGCCTGTTGGAAAGACGTTTGTTGTAGCTGCTGTTGTTGATCAGTGTTACGTCCAGATATTATACTAATGTAAAGCCAGAGGTTTATTGTTGCCCTTCTCTGAAAAAAAATATAACAGTATTTTGCTCAGTTCTATTGAATAAAGAGAACGATCATGAGTGTTGTCTTGTTTTTAAACTTTACATTTGCTCGACTTGACCTCAAGATGTTTTCTTGAAACTATTTAAATAATTAATTTAGTTAACATTTTACATTCTTGGTTTAATTTGAAATCTGATCTGTTGAATTGGTGCCGATTAATTTTTAAATGTGCTTTCTCTTTCGAATCAGGTCTAGGAATCGGAACCTGAGGTAAATCCTAAATGCTCAAAACAGAGTAGGTGTCAAGAATTCTGCACTAAACAATATTAATACATGAGCGTAGCCAGCTATCGTTAAAGGGGGGGGGGGGGGGGCGAAGCGAAGAGAGTCCCCAAAAAGGAGGGGGGTTACCGAGGTTGAAAAATTACATTGTATATGGTGCATTCTAACCATTTCAAAGTCTAATTTCTTAATGCCTTTTCAAAAAAAAATTCAAAATTGTTTTTTCTTTTTTTGTGGGGTCTGGGGGGTGGGGGGGGCGCCTGATAGGCAAAATCAATAGATCTACTTACAAGATGTCGACAGAAGTAGAGTTTCTCGTGTCTCCCCAACCTTGCGGCTTCCTTCCCACTGGAGTACCCCTCCAACAGGGGATGCCACACACAGTTCTGGAGATTGTACTCCCGTTTAAGCATAGCGAACGTCGCTGGTGACATATTCTTGTAGATCTCAGAAAGAATTCCCAAAGAGGAGGATATTCCTTTCTTGTCTGGTATGGGGAGACTGTTGTAGCCGATGATGGAGTCAAGAATGTAGTGTGCTGCCTCATGCCACAGACCTAGATATATTTAGTTGAATAAGGATGATTGGGGTTTAATTCTAGTTTACAGGTTCTCTTTTTTTACAGATTCTGTTTTTAGTGCAGTGTTTCGATGAGTTTATGACTACAAGTAACCATTCTGCTACTCATCGCATTTTTTCTGTTCCATTATACACACGAAAGAGAAGAAATGAGATGTCATTATTTATCATAGTGATGATGACTAAAACCTATGCTAATTCTAAATACTTCCTGACTTTGTTTTCAGTACTCTGAATCATATTCTAAACCACAGAGGATTAACCGACTACCTGTTACTAGTATACATTTTTACCGTTTTGCAATTTTGAAAAACCTTGTTTGAAAAATTCAAACTTACAACAGAGTTCTATAAGAAATTTGCCAAAAAGTAAATTAAAGAATGCAAAAACTATCTTTCAGGCTTTACAGATAATTTGTAACGGTATATTACTAACACATATACACGTACATACACGTACACGTACGTATACGTACACGTACATACCGAGATTATAGCGTATGACGCCCTTGATCTGCACACAGACTGCACATACTAAGTTGTACTGGTGTTCGTCCTGGTACACCCATTTACCTGGAACAGCAATTATACCAATTAAATATCAAAAGTATATTTCCTTAACATACGAGACGCCATTAGAAGACCACCTGCCATTTATTACAGACGCCTACCATCGACCGCCGAACACCGTCCACAAAAAAAGTTGGAGACTATAACAACATGCAACATGTAATAAATCAAGTCAATGAATTATTTACCTTTACAAGTGTTGGTTATTTTATTAAGAATTATCTCGGCCTCCTGGAGTTGACCTCGATCTTTTTTCACTCTCGCCTTGCGTATCATTATCTGTGGTGCTATAGGCGTGTCGGGACTACTTTCCTCTATAGTGGCAATCAGCCGTAGCAAAGTAGGACTTCCGCCAAACCAGTACATAAACCTTTGAACAGATTCAAAGAAAGGTACAAAGTTTTATTTCACATGTATATAAATACAAATATATACTAGTTGAACTGGTACACGTGGCATACTTAGCACCTAGGTATAAATTACGAAAATATTTGGAACACAAGGCATTGACATGGCAAATGTCACCACCTGTCATTTGTAACAGACGCCGATCGCCGACCGCCGTCCACAAAAAAGTTGTTGACTATAACAATATGTGGTGATGACATAACTAGAATCAATTTAGAGACTTGATCTGCAGATAAAATAGTGCAGTTTATTCAAAGTTCCGTAAAACTGGAATAGCAGATGCATCACAAGGCTTACCTGTCTATAAGAAACAGTGCTGCTGCTGCAGTCGGAAAGTCATCACTGTCTATAGCTGAATCAACACATTCCTGAAAATAATGGCACAAATCAAACAAAATCGTTCGTGTCTTTCTCATATCATCTTTTTTTAATGGATTTTTATTTCAGTTCAAGCAGTACATTCAATACATATTGAAGTTTACTCATTTTACAATAATGGCGGTGGGTAAGAGGGTACCACACATACATCTGCTTCTAAAAATTGAACTCTTGGCAAGCATAGCCTAACATAGACGTGTTTCACGTTTCCCTTTCTCATATCAGTGTAACACGTAAGAATGATCTCTGAAAGGCCCTGGTTAAATCGCAGTTTTCTAATAGCTTAGCAAATATATGAAATTATAGGGATTTGGATTTGGACAAAGACGTCAGTCCCTCAAATAAAACACGTAAGAATGAACTCTAAAAGGCCCTGGTGAAATCGCAGCTTTCTAATAGCTTAGCAAATAGATGAAAAATTCTTTGGCCAAAGACCTCTATCCCTCTTTGAAAAATAAGAGGCATTTGTATCTCAATGTTGCCTGTGTGCATATATTCAAACACTTCTCTAATATGAAATCCCTAAATATGAACGATTTTTGGTCACACTTTTAATCTGCCATAGAATACTATGTACAAGAACCTGAAATCTGAACACCTGTCATTCCGACGGAACACTTTTAGGCCCAGGGGGCGTTCGGATTCGACAATATTTGCTGTACCTTTTATTTCTTGTAGTTAGCAAAAAGTCAGAAGAAAGAACTGGTCATCATGACAAACTCTGTAACAGCTACTCAGTACTTACGTGTTCAATGCAGTTCTAAGATATACGTACCATTAAAACGTCGCATTCTTTTAAGTCATCCCTGATGGCATTTTTAGAAAGGATCAAGTCTTTTAGATTGACCGTTTGTTCTTCAGTAAGGTTTTCGTCATCAATATATTGCCACTCTTCGGGTACAAATGGCCAGGCCATTGACTTCGCGACATCCAACAACTTCCGTAATCTTGGGGATAGAATCCCAAGCCATTCCTCCAGTGGCTTGTGAACCATCTTGTATGTTGAAGGTGTCTCGTTTTGATGGGGCGAATCACATGAACATTAGTTTAATGTCTGAAATGGAAATGCCATACAGATGATGTGATAAATTGGGCAGATTGCCACTTCCGTGACGCTGATAACGTTAGCTGTGCGGTTAAAGTTTATGTATGGGTGTAAATAATTATAATATATCACTACACGCATGACAAGGATTGAATAGAGATCATTTAATAGATGTCACTGAAGTCTGTCCTACACATGATACCTAAACAACAACATACAAAAAATATCAAGATTGGGCTATGTCGCAATACTATCTAGTATTCACAAAGCACCGGAATCAGATACCAAAAGTACACTGATATCAATGTTTTTTATGATCCGGAAACATTCGTCATATTTTATTGTATTTAAGCCCATGGACCCCTACCGGCAATGACGAACTTGTTTACTATCATTTCTGAGACTAACCCCCGGGGACTAACCAGGGTAAATTAAGTACTTTTGCTTGTTTACTTTAAGGACATAGAATTTGGCGAGGCAAAACTCAATAGGTGAGGCAAGGTGGTGAGGTAAAGAGGCATTTTACCTAACATACAGTTAATAAAGCTAAATATATATACTAAAACTTCATCTCGACATTGGATTGAGGTGAAAAGTCTGAAAAAATGTAAAATATGTCTGGCTACATCCAATCCATGCTAACACACCAGCATGACTGACATGCTTTCGTGCAGGCCTCATCAAAATGGATACGTCACATATAGGACTAATAACTTGTGTTTACTTACCAAACTTTGTCGAATTCCAGCCAATGCTAGACAAATGATAATAACAATAAATAGTTGAATTCACTTCCTTGTCTTTAAGCCTATTAATGAAAGTCCAAAGGTTTTACATTTGACCATTCTATCTCGAATCTTATAAATAAAAGTAATCTTCGTTGTTTACTCTAAGCATTCCAGTCAGTCAGTGGCCTAAATAACAGAATGAATATAGGCGGACAAAATGTTCATCTTGTTTATTAACCGATATATGATTCTCAAAAGTTTACCATTCAGTGGTGGTTGGCTGAATGCTTCAATTCACGCCTATACATCGCTATTTAACGATGATATTGACGAGCATTTTCTTGCGTGTATAACGTTAAGATGATATGAAACAGATTTTTATAAGGAGTAAATAACTTAAGGTTAGTATAACGGTGGTATAGGTCCCTGTACAGGGCATGTACATGTACTTTGACAGACATCGAGTGTAAAAAGAACAGTGAAAACAACGTACTTTGTAAACAGATAATCAGTACTGAATACAGGTCGCATAACAGTGGATAAACTCAGGAATGCTAGCTAGAAAAACTCACTAAAGTCAGTAAGTACATGTAACTTTATACTGTTCTATGTTTTATATGAGAATATTGGTAAGTTAATACTCACATGAACAATCACATACTGTGGTACTTATGAAGCCTGGATTATAGCCTTTAACAACAGGTTGCGATGACCTCTCAATAACGCAGCGTTTAAATTCTCGATTAATCTAGTGTCTCTCTTTTGTCGGAGGTTATTGATTAAGCTGATCGGTTGATGCAATGATGATGACTTTCTGGAAATTCAGAATTTTTGAATCAGTTCTGGGAATCCCCTTTTTGCCAGCTGAATTCCATTGATCTTCAATTGTGTAGCATGTATCTTTCAAGTGGAACAAAGCCAAACAGCTTCTTATTAACGTTAAGAAGTCAGAGGAAATGAATCATACATTCATATACTTCCAGCGAAACACTTGTAACAGTAGTACAAACAACACTCAACAACAGTGGGATAAGAAAACGATAACACAGTAATAGATTCCTCAATAGAAGCACTATTTAATTATCGATTCACAGCTGAAACATATGACTGATAATGTAATCGTTAACTGGATATATTTGAATGGACTACCGGTCAAATTAGGATAACTTGAAAGACAAGCAAAGAAAGCGGTCAGGTGGCCAAGGTAAGAACTACTCGATCAACCTTATGATTCTAAGAAACGATTCCATATAACCAGATTTTAGAACTTGGAATAATCGATACATTCACGTTAACCTTTTCCATTTACAATGTTTAAGCCAAGGTTCACCATGCCAAGTTATATTTAGAGAGCTGATTGCATGCAGTAGACTAAACACTAGACTTCTATATTAATGTAAGCCCAGGACTCAATGAATTTTAGGGTGATTTATATTTAATCCACTCGTGTGTTGTTTCTTAACTTTGCATTCGTGCTTTGCATTCGTTGATGCTTTCTTCTCCTCCACCCGTTAGATGGTGCTTGGATTTGTAATTCACTATGTATCGAGTGCAGGGTTTATCATGCCTACATGTTACAACAACATCAACATTTTTACCATTGTTTGTAAAATGCCTACATAAAAAGAGATATTTTGACGGGATTTTATTAATTTATAGATACATTATTTGATGTAATTTTAAAGTTCATTAAAATTCTTCATATCTTTCCTATGTTTTCCATATGAGTGTTTGATCATATTACATAATCAAATTGGACATAAGACAAATTGGTTTGTCGTTGTCGTAATTAGAAAATGGTACAAATGGTACAACAGGATTTGCAGTTTCACCCCTCCCCTGTATGTAACATGGTTATTTATTTTTATTTATTCATTTTTTTATCTCAATGGGATGAGTTCAGATATTGATTAACAAGATATTACAACACCTTTCGTTTGAGTACGTATTTGTCTAAACTTTAACCCACTCTTGTGTAGGTCGAATGACCAAGAAAGAAGTGGTATTCACAGTGACAATATACATGTATAGTCCAGTCGTCTTGCGACATAAATTACTTTGCCAGTGCCTGTAATTGTTCAATATGTTACAAGTGCATGGTCCACGCAAGGGAAAGATCAATACCCGGTGATTTCAGCGGGAAGTGGCGTTTCGTTCAGTGGATGAGCTGCGCGCGCACGCATAAATGTGATTATCCAATATAATTAGGGGAGGGCTATTTGAAGTAGTTTTTGGTCTCAGGCGCGACCCAGGGCTGTTGTCTTAAGGACATTTCGTTGAAAATGAGCCATTCGGCTGATAATTGGTAAGAGTTTGCGATCTTATAATGTATAACTGTTACTCAGACACATATTTTGACACGATTCTGTTGGAAATAAGCTTTGAACCGAGAGATATTCACGATTGATATGCACATTTTTGATTGTGCCATTGCTTTTCTATTGCACAATCCATGTATTGATAGAAGAAACATTAATAATGCAGATTGGTTTACCTTCAATACATGGCAGACACTACATATCGGTCTATTAATACCAGTTTGTGCCTTAAATAGTTTTATATTTCCATCCACGGCCTGGAGCCTGGGTGTGTTTGTCTCTTTTATGTGTATGCTTGTGCATGGACTTCTAATCACTAGCAGAATTTAACATGATGCAAACTCGACATTATAACTCATGCTGTAACATTTTGACTTCGCTGGAAAACAATAGGAATTATTTTTCTTGCCAATCAATCATGAATCACAATCAAAATTTCAGAATGATCAATCAGGCAATGGTCCAAATCAAGTTATAACATTATATGATATTCAGCAAGAAGTCCGGTAGAAATACAGAATATTTAAACATCAAAGCTGAAAGTTAAAAGCTAATCTGTCAATTTTCTGTCTGCAAAAGAGCGTTTACATTTGACACAATAACAGACTGAGGCTTTGAAATCTAGGATTCCCCAGGAAAATATGACGTCATACTAATTAGCATAAGGATTTCCCTATTGGTCTGGGTCGTGCCTTGTTCGAAAACACAATCCATAAATACATGCTAATTTCTAAGGAGATAGGAAGTGTATAACGTGTTTATCGATTTTGTTTAAAGATTTAATCAATTGTCAAATTGTTTAAGTGGATAAAGTGGTCACACTTGCTTCAATTCATAGCGAAATCGACGGATAGAAACTGACCGAATTCCCGATATCCTACCCCGTATTACTGTAGGCTATGAGCACAGTGACCTACAGAGGGCGCTATCACAAACAAGTACTGCACGAACCGATAAATTCCCAGGTATTGTAACGCCCTTGGTCCACGCCATAAAATAACAAGACACCGAGATCAAGTTTTTGTCTCGAAACAAACATTTGTTTAACGTCTACATAACCCATCTAAGCGATATAAATATTACATTTTTGTTTTCAATATTTTAAAGTCCATACATAATTTTTTGCTGTAACTCTAGTAAATAGGGCAAATGGTGAGTCTGGAGTCATGCATAATCAACACATCCAGTTTTACCCCTCCCCTATATGTAGCCTAACATGGTAACATATGTTTTCGTTTTATCTAACGAGATATCGATTAGCAGGATATTACAACACCTTTTTAGCATTTTTGTAAACTTTAACTAACTTTTGTTTAATTACCAAGAAACGGGAGTGTTAACGATGCCATACGCAATCATTTGATATAGAATCTATATATTGATCTATCCTCGACCTTTTTGATAATTTTCTTGTTATTGCAGTTATCCATATTAATGATTAGTTCAGTATAAAAAAATCATCGGAAAAATACGACATTAATTTACGAAACAGATGGGATTAAACTTAGGATGTCATTTTAATTTCAGATCACAATGACAGCCAAATCGAAAGAGAACGCGTTCGTCGAGGTTAGCACGACCGCTGATACTGTAGATGAACTGGCGGAGGCGACGGCTGACAAACTAGCGATACAAGAAGACGCATGTGCTGACACTGTTCTCACACCATTCGTTATCATATTTGGCTTCCCCGATTCGTCAGTGACACAAGCCATGGTAGAATATATGCCTGAAAGTCTGGTACGAACTAAAGATACGTCTGTTAGTTTTGGACGCGCGGAGACATCTGATGTACGATTAAATCACAAAACAGCATCAAGACAATTTGCTGAATTGACTTTCTCCGTAGATTCAGGCAATCCTACATTTATGTTAAAGAACATCAGTAAAACTAAGACTATTTACATCAATGATAATGCAGTCAATCCTAATTGCGCACAAGCAATCACCGACAATAACATCGTTAAACTAGATGCATTCAAAATGAATGTCACTATAAATCAAGGTGACATTTTGGCTGAGAAGTGGGAAATCATATTTGACAAAGCTCACATTAACGGCACGCCAAAACCTACAAATGGTGTACCTGTAACAAAGGCTGATGAGCACACAACGTTGAAACGACTTTCAAGCGGATTTGGATCAGCTAGTGTAAGTTTTTCAACTGGTACTGATGCTATACCTGGACCAGTGTCGAGTATGTCATTCCCAGGGTCGGAGAATTCTTCCAACGAGTCTTCATTTTCACAGTCGTTCCCCTATCGTATGGGAAGTGATGGCCAGCCCGTTGGTCATGTCAACAGCCCCCTACCACTACAAGGCCCTCCTAGTAATGGATTCGGGTTTTCTAATCCAAGTCAACCTCCTACCCGTTTCACCCAATCAGAATATCCCATCCCCGCACCGCATCAACAGCTCTACCAGCGGCCAAATGAGAGACACCAACTTTATAATGCCAATCAGTATGGCCCGCAACATCCGAATCCACCGAACCCTGGTGATCATCAGATATATTATCAAACACAAGGAGCGCAGAATCAAATGAATCAACAGAGGTATCAAAACCCTCAAGGACAACATTATCACCAAGGTGGTCACGTGCAGCATCCTTCATCATATAAAGGTCAGCCTTATCCTAGTGCGCATGCCCAGTCTGGTTACTCTGGTGATCAATGTCGGTGTCCACCTGACCCCCACACAGGTCAAGGTCACCAAGACCCCTATGTCACGCAGCCGCACTCGTCAGCACCACGTGGTCCCTGTGACGGTCACCCATTGGCCATGGCGCTGGGGGCTCGACATAGATCACCTCAAGAAATGCCAGACAGGTTTCCCGAGGAGTCGGATGAAAGAGTAATCATATTAAAGTGAGATTTTGCATAACGATGAACGAGATTTTTATTATTCTTTTTGTTCAGAGAATAGCTTCAAGAGCTTCCGATTATAAAGTATGTGCCATGTGGGTATTTCTAACGCCTTGTCAAACTAATGGGGAGAAGCAAATAATCGAATAGCCAACAGGCGAAGTTAAAGATAGACCATAGGCTAAGGTCGATAGAAATGTTGGATTCTTTCTGGTACTGCCATCTTTATATCGGCCCAGAACCTATGAACTTGACATCTAGCTCAAGGGAAAGATCAATACCCGGTGATTTCAGCGGGAAGTGGCGTTTCGTTCAGTGGATGAGCTGCGCGCGCACGCATAAATGTGATTATCCAATATAATTAGGGGAGGGCTATTTGAAGTAGTTTTTGGTCTCAGGCGCGACCCAGGGCTGTTGTCTTAAGGACATTTCGTTGAAAATGAGCCATTCGGCTGATAATTGGTAAGAGTTTGCGATCTTATAATGTATAACTGTTACTCAGACACATATTTTGACACGATTCTGTTGGAAATAAGCTTTGAACCGAGAGATATTCACGATTTATATGCACATTTTTGATTGTGCCATTGCTTTTCTATTGCACAATCCATGTATTGATAGAAGAAACATTAATAATGCAGATTGGTTTACCTTCAATAAATGGCAGACACTACATATCGGTCTATTAATACCAGTTTGTGCCTTAAATAGTTTTATATTTCCATCCAGGGCCTGGAGCCTGGGTGTGTTTGTCTCTTATGTGTATGCTTGTGCATGGACTTCTAATCACTAGCAGAATTTAACATGATGCAAACTCGACATTATAACGCATGCTGTAACATTTTGACTTCGCTGGAAAACAATAGGAATTATTTTTCTTGCCAATCAATCATAAATCACAATCAAAATTTCAGAATGATCAATCAGGCAATGGTCCAAATCAAGTTATAACATTATATGATATTCAGCAAGAAGTCCGGTAGAAATACAGAATATTTAAACATCAAAGCTGAAAGTTAAAAGCTAATCTGTCAATTTTCTGTCTGCAAAAGAGCGTTTACATTTGACACAATAACAGACTGAGGCTTTGAAATCTAGGATTCCCCAGGAAAATATGACGTCATACTAATTAGCATAAGGATTTCCCTATTGGTTATGGGTCGAGCCTTGTTCGAAAACACAATCCATAAATACATGCTAATTTCTAAGGAGATAGGAAGTGTATAACGTGTTTATCGATTTTGTTTAAAGATTTAATCAATTATCAAATTGTTTAAGTGGATAAAGTGGTCACACTTGCTTCAATTCATAGCGAAATCGACGGATAGAAACTGACCGAATTCCCGATATCCTACCCCGTATTACTGTAGGCTATAAGCACAGTGACCTACAGAGGGCGCTATCACAAACAAGTACTGCACGAACCGATAAATTCCCGGGTATTGTAACGCCCTTGTCTAGCTGAGCCGAGACAATGTTCCACAATCTAAAACTAACAATGAAAATCGGCATAATGGGTACAAACTTATGCAGCTAACTAAGATATGCCATGGACTTCATTTGATATCTGAGTCGGGTTTTGCATGTAAATTATGTGTCCTCGGCGCGGAAGAAATCCTTGGAGGATCGCAAGTTTAGATTCTCAGATCTCTAATATTTTACCTTGATATTATTACTGAAATCGTGAATGCTCAAGGAGGGCCTAAATCACATTGAAAGTATGACAGACACAACAATGATATTAAGAATATATACGTGGTTAAGTTATTCATTGATGTACATATAAAGATATTTAAATCAGTATTTCCATCAAAGCGACTGGTATTTACTGCAATGTGTTATATATGTGCTTTTCATTTGTGTTGCTAATGAGACCTTCTCGACTGAAAATGCTTGAAATCCGCATTCTGATACTTATCACATCTTCGTTTTAAACTAGAAAAAATCTAAAATGGAACATTTGATGAAAGGACGTCATTTCTCACGTGACCAGTAAAGTAAATTAATATGTGACTTATTGGATATGACGTCTTTCTTATAGCGTTTCATGTTAGAGACAGGATCTGCAATTTTGTTTACAAGTATTTTGCCGGCAAATCATGACATCATATATAGATCTTGCCATTTTTTCATTTGATATATACAACAAATATATGTACATAGTATGAAAAACTTGCAGCTATAAATTGACATAAATCAAAATTTGGTAAAAACCGAGGACAAACAGTATTACAACAAGGGATATATGTTATAATGTTGATCGTATGAAATAGTTAGATTTCGCATCATTTTAAGATTGCTTCAAGTATAGAGTATAGTAATAATGGCATGAGTCCCTTTTCTGCGAGGTAGCCATAAACACCCTTTGTGTACTATATGTTGTTTTATTTAAGATTTTTAAATGAATAAAAAATATGAACAAAAATATAATTTTAATACTTGATATTTCTACTTGTTCTCTTAAGGGCGTTGCACATCTACCAGTACATTTATCTCCTGTTTTTATATATGATTATATGACTCTGCGTTGTATTACCAATAACGCATATGCTGTATGGTTGTCAAGGTGAAAACTTGGATAACATATTGAAATTGATGCTTTGCCAACTTGACCCTTGCAAAAAGCTTCATTGAAAATAAATTGTTCTAGTCATTTTGTATCTTGATTTTGAAGAGAATATTCATCATCATATTCCATCGTTGTTCATCGTAGTTCATCATACCTCTTCAGTCATATGGACTTTTACAGCTGTTACACCAAAACGCTGAAAATGTATAATTATCTTGGAGTATTTTTGATATAAACAGAATACCATTGAAATATGGTCATTATCGTATTTCTGCCCCTTTCCCCATCCTTGCTGCAAGGGTATTTTACAAGTATATAATTTAATTTTCCCTGAATTTAAGCATAAATGAAGTCCTTTGAAGAAGGATGCCTTTCCCAGATTGTCTTGAAATGTCTAGCCAGCACTATGAATAGATGGCAGCATAAATTTTAGTCCCATCTCTAAACAAACAAATGGTTACCAGTGTTTTAAAAGATGGCATGACGATAATAAACATGGCCAATCCAATTGATGTATTAGAATAAAGATTTCACCAAGGAGTCTTATTTTACATTTGAACAAACATCTTCCAACTGACATTTGAATATTAGGGGAGGGGGGGGGGGTGTCACTGTCAAGTGAAGCTAATTAAATGTCATCAACTTTGCTCCATGAAGATCGCGCAGCTGAGATTTTATGCCAAAAGAGAATAACACACCGATCTAGCACTTGCTTTGGATCAAAGATGACGTAAGCATAGGACTGTGATAAAATGGCTAGGGACCAGTAACATTTGTAGTATGAAGCTAAAGAAATGAAAACGGGGTTTGAACTATCCCGCATATTATATGTTAGACAGTGTCAGGTAGATTTTCTCCTCCCTTACAACCATTGATGGCCCAGTAATGACCAAAAAGGCACACTTTTTGGGGCCACAAGGCCTTTTTGGCCCAATATTTTTTTGGGCCCAATTATTTTTCCACCCAAGGGGATCCCCCAGATCCACCAGTGGGGGGGGGGGGTATGTAAGACTTGGGAATTTCAGCCTCACACTTTTCGAAGGGGGTGTAGCAAAGACCTGTAGTAAGGCATCAAGGCAAGATTCATTGTCCATCAATAAGATAGTTCTCTTCTATTAACATAAGATAAAAGGCTGCTTCACCTGTAACAGTAGAAGGCAAAACAGGGAGAATGTTGATGGCTTGAGGTTGGATTATCTCTTTCGTAAAATTGCTTTGATTACAGTGGATGCCATGACAACATGCATTAAAATGATAGGTTCGATTCTGGTTTCGTTTATTATCTTTTTCTTTTACTGAACTGTGAGCAACTCAGTCTGACGCATATCTCCAAGAAATAGATAAAATGCTATGACTTATTACTTCGATTTCATTTTTTATCCTCATGTATCAATTACAATTGAGACCAGACCATAGACTATACCGAATAAAAGGGAGTTCACTACCCCCTACTTCTTGATATTCTTTGACAAAACTGATGTAACGTTACGTATACTATCAACTGAAAAAATAAAAAATGGCTGACAGCAGCCAGGGTTGTAACGTTTTCGGTGGTTACCCTTTTAGGATAAAAACAAATAGGTGAGACTTGCGGGGGTGGCCCCCGGTCGGGAACCAATCACATGAACCTGAAACTACAACGCGCCAGTAAAAGATAAAATACGTCTGGCTGGAAAATAGACTCCACCTCCACATCATCCATCTTTGTAGTGAAAAGAATCGAACTATGACGACACAAATGATATTTTTAAGGACACGCTTTAGAAAAATGTAAAAAACATCCCACTTATCAATTCCTCTAAAATCGGCTAATTGACATATTCGTTTAGAATCCCAAAATATGATTGCGAGCGATAGATGTGAATTTAGGTCTACATTTTTTATAATTTATTATTGATGGGTCATACATGCTTCTATATATGAGCCAACTTTGACGACATAATGCCATTTTTTCCATATAACGTCCCGGGTTTGACCAGGGGTCATTAACAAAAACTTAAAATAATAAGAATCGCAAAACAAATGTATAACAATGGAACTGGGATTTCTAAACTTTTTTGTTAATGACCCCAAGATTATTCACGCTTCTCGACCAACGGTAATTATTTTTTAAATGCACAGGTCCGCAGCCAACTTTTGCCAAGGGGAGGGGGGGGGGGGTCAATATTTCAATATTTAAAAATCCAAGGGGTTCTCATGCATTTGACCATTTTGGGCCAAAATCAGTTGAAAATTGCTCAGATTGGTGAAAAGCTGCATGATGTTTAAAGAATTTTGGGCCGTAGGTTTGAGAGGGTGGTCGCTCGCATCCCCTGAGGCCTGAACCACATCGCTACGAGCCTGATGTACTTACAATGGCACAGAATCATACGAGATCTTACATCTACTACAGAATTACTATGTGTTACTTAGAACTAACCATCTTCTTTGAAGCTAAGTCGTGTTTGTTTAGAAGATGTCGAGACTCAACGGCTATCACCCTACTACACAAACACTTGCAACAACTTTCTCACAAGCTACACTGTACTATTCCACTTGTATTTCTTTAACAGTTTACGCATATATCACAGAATTACATTACATAAAATTTTTATTTTCGTTTAATCTCGATTCGACCACCTAGTAGTTAAAACAATCGTCGCCAAACTTGTCATTAAATTATCAACTTCTAGATAAACTATGGTGAGAACTTTGTAAAAAAGAGTTTAGGGTCAAAAGTTATCTTACTGTTTTCCTATTTATAAGTATTTAGAAGCCGTATCGCTAACTCGGGAAGTAATATGTGATCACGATATTAATGACTTCCCGGAGTAATGATGTCATAGTAGTCAAACTTTTACACACAATAAAGCAAAGAAACGTACAATTTGCAAGTGCAAAACTGAATAAGCCCGAGGTTTATATAATAACCTTCATTGATATGAAGAAAAATTCATGATTTTAATCATAGTTCATGGATAAATGATCATAAAGCAATTTGATCGAGTGTAATTTACATACGGGTAGTTTCAACTGTGACGTACGTTATCTTAGGGCTTCACGGATCAGGCTTCAAGGAAGCGCAACATTTGCTATAATTTCTGCACGTCCATTTTGTTGATTCTGATAATTCAAATGCATACAACACAAATATCTAATTTTGCATCAAATGAATGGGTTACAATTAGTTAAATCTGACCCATTGACTAGCATCTACATGTATTGTAAATTACACAATTTTTGTGATGTTATTATCATCATGCGCAAAATCCAAAAGTTGCTCGACTACGCCTACAATAACCTGAAATAACATTCCCATTGGTTCCCATAATATTAGTATAAAATGTATCTAAATCTGTATTGTATTGTATTGTATTGTATTGTATTGTATTGCATTGTATTGTATTGTATTGTATTGTATTGTATTGTATTGTATAGTATTGCATTGTATTGTATTTTATTGCCACGGTATTACATTACATTATATTGTATATATTGTATTGTATAGTATTGCATTGCATTGTATTCCATCTTATTGTATTGTGTTGTATTATAGTGAATTATGCTGAATTATATTGTCTAATTGTCTTGATATATTTTATTGTCATGTATTGTATTGTGGTGTATTGTATTGTATGACATTGAATGGTATTGTACCGTATCATGTCGTGCCGTGTATAATACTTTGGATATGAGCTCTACATTATTATTATATCCATGAAACTCTCTTTTACATAGGCAAAATCAAACAGCTATGGTTTATATTTGTGGAAATAATGTCCATAAGACTGTTATTCTATATTTGAAGTAAATACGCGACGAAACAGGAGCATTTTAATAACTACAGAAGGATTATTCAGAATGTTTAGGTGCACACACATTTTCTGCGTTTTTTGATATTATATAAGTACAGAAAAATCAAAAATTAGTTAACTTGTACAGCTAGAAAAAGAAAGGGGGAAATTCAAAAGAACAACACAGTTAGATAAAGAAAAGTTTAAAAGAAAAGTTTAAAAGAACAACACAATTTGAAAAAGAAAAGTTTAAAAGTACTACAAA